CGTTATAATCTATTAATATCAAAGATTTAATCTTATTCTCTGTGGATAATGCTTGTCAATGTCACATTCAATTTTTACGTTTCACTTCTGTTTATATTTGAGTTGCTATTTTTATACGCGCTCTAAAAATTATTTTCCTGCTTTGTTTTTCGTTATCTGAATAATTGTGTTATTTACGTATATGTGTAGACTAGACTAAAAACTTAGCTTTAAAAGATTACATAAAAATTTGTGGTATCGTTATATATTAGTGCTGCATTCTACCTTCCAATAGTTTCCTTTTTTTACATGATTTTGCGTAAACTACAATACGATGCTAAATGTATTCTTACCTACTCTAACTTTTTAGGGCAAATATAGACTAACTGTAGTTACATATAATATGTAGATACTTCATAACAAATAAAAATTATCATAATTTGAGCGAAGAAAAAATAAAAAAAGGTTTTTTTTTGTTTTCTCAGTTTACATATGTTTTTTATGACGATGACATGTTAATACTCTATTCGGTTTTGTTCAGAACATTCCATTACAATACTTTACTTATTGAAAAAAAATGGCTTAGCACGTAAAGTGTAAATTGACTATACTATGAAATATTTGTATCTTTAATGTGTTAAGGCTATTTATTTTAAAAAATCCAAATGAGTTTAATGCTTCTGTTTTGCTTGAAACCTTATCTGTGAATAATTACATCAAATTATTCAATCAGTATCTACATAGTTCGTGTTTAAAAACATCGCATACTCGTATGTATGAACCCTTGAAAAAGAAAAAATATTGGTGTTAAATACAGCTTTTAGTTATAAATTTCAGGCTTGCAAGGTTGTTAATTGGTAACGTCTAAAAGCGTATGTATTTTACGTTTAAGTGGGAACGTAATTTCTTATAGTCTTAGAGGTAAGGTGTGTATTTTTTGTGAATGTAATTTCCTCTATTAATTAAGATTTTATTTTATCAAAATGTAATTTATTCTGTGGGAGATAAATATAATTAAGTTATATGTAGTTTAACTTGACTTAATTTTCAGTATTTTTAAGAGCAAAGTTAATATATGGAAATATAAATAATTAATTTAAGGCGAGTTTGACCTTTGAATCTGAAGGGATATGGTAATCACAACTTTAGGGTTTGCCCGTTTGTACTTGCGATGTTTGTTTATCTCAAGCGTGAAAGTTAGATTAGGGGTATAACTATCGAATCAGTCTATATTTACATATTTAATACACATCTGTTAAAACTAAAATCTATACAAACTAGTGATAGTGGTATAAAGATTTATCTATTTTAATCACAATAAACTTTGTCTTATAGACTCACTATATATAAAAAAGTGTAGTACAGTATATCTAAAGAGTATGTGATACTAGAAACATATGTGCTACTTGTGCAAGTGGATGTATATTTAATTTGTTTTTAATGTGATCCCAAACTAGGCAATGCCTGTCTTATGGGAACCACTCAAAACCGTGTTAGCTATAGGATAGACGAGTTATATTAAAAAATAGATATACAGTCCCTAGATTATATGTTTATTTTATATTGTAAGCATTATTTGTTAAACAATGTATGACGTGAGAATATATAGTGTTTCTGGTTATACATATGGAGGGAGTATGTTTTAAAGTGTAAGATTACTGGAGAGTATGTAAGATTTTTTCTGTTTCGTCGTATGTTAATGTATGGAGCCATTTTTTTACTATGTTATATGCAGCGTTGTGATGCAAATGTTTTATATTGCAGGACTTGACTACCTTGTTGTATATTTGAATATGTAAGAATTTAGGAGGCCGTATGACTTTGTATGATTTGATTGTAGGAAGGCACACTTGGTACACTCGTTTTGATAAAAGGTTTTCATATTCAGCTGAACTCCTTACTGATGTGTGAGTTATAGTTGCAGATTTTAGTACATATAGCTGTCTGACACTGAGCAACCCCGCTTCCTTGTAAATGAGTTCGGTAGGCGTCATTACTGGTTGTTTCAGCATTGCTTTAATAACTCCTCTTTGTGCTCTTTCAAGGTTTATCATGTATGTTTTAGCACTTCCGCCCCAGACTGCGATGCAATATGTTATGATAGACTGACACAAGGAAAAGTAGACCACCTTAATGATATTCCATGGTGCACATCTACTTATTTTCCTGTAAATGTATAAAAATTTCCTTACTCTGGCCGTCAGCTTTAAAATGTGATCTTTAAACCTCAGCCTATCATCAACAACCACACCCAGGTAAGTTATGCTATTGACAGCTTTAATTTCATGGCAATCACAATCGGGTGACTGTGGACTAAGTAAGCAAGAGTGAATTTTCAATTTTGGGGGTAACATTGGAGTCTTTGCTTTAAGTTTGTGAAAATTTAAAAATTTTGTTTTTTCTAGATTTAACGTTAGAAGATTTCCCTGCAACCAATTTTGTACTGTACGTAATCCTTGTTCTGCCGTTTCAACAATTTCTTTCCATGAATTTCCCCGAAAGAGTATAGCAGTATCATCAGCATAGCATATAAGTTCACCATTTTTTATGTCAAGAAGTAACAGATCATTTATGTAGAGCGTGAATAGCGTGGGACCCAAGACGCTTCCCTGTGGCACACCATAGTTAATCTGAAGTTTGTCGCTGATTGTGTCCAACAGCTTAGTATTTTGAACTCTACCCTGAAGGTATGTAGCAAACCAGTTTAAGGCCGATCCTCGAACCCCAGCCCTTTCAAGTTTGTTTAAAAGCATGTCTGTCGAAACCGTATCAAAAGCTTTAGAAATGTCTAAAAACACACCAACACAACATTTGTACTTGTCCAAATAGTCATGTACTGTGTCTGTAAGCTTAACTGTGGCGTCTTCTGTTGACTTACCTTGGCGGAAACCGAATTGATTGGGAGAGAATATTTTATGCATTGAGAAAAATGCCGTAAGTCTTTTATTTACAATTTTTTCTAGCAGTTTAGAAAACATAGAAAGGAGAGATATGGGTCTATAATTGTTTGGATTATCTGTATCTCCTGATTTGTGGATTGGAATCACAATGGAGTGCTTCCAGCACTCCGGAAATACACCTTCGCTTAAGCTAAGGTTGAAAATATGTGTAAGTGGTACTATTATATGAGTTTTGACAGATTTAATTAGCTCCGGAGTACAGGAATCAGAACCAGGAGCACTGCCATTTTTTAAATTATTTATGAGAGATAGAATTTCGTCTGGCGTAGTTGGATTCAGAAAGAGAGAGTCAGGAATATTGTTTCTAGATGTTGTGTTGCGTATATGATTTCCTTTATTTGTACTAAGGTTATTTAAAATGGTTCTGGTTAATGCGTCTGGAATACTGACGAAATGTTTATTAAATGAATTCGCTTTATTACGGCGTTCAACGGGGTCACAAGTTACCTTTGTTTTTGGGTTTCTGTCACATAATTCATTAATAGTTTTCCACAGCTTTTTTGGATTGTCTTTATTCTGCATCAGTTTTTTGTTGTTATATGCGTCACGAGTGTCTCTTATAATCTTGTTACAAAAATTTCTGTACCTTTTGTATGTTGTTTCTAGATTTTTGTCATCTGGAGAATTTCTTAACGCCCTATGTAATTTGTCCCGGTGCAGTATACATCGATTTAGCCCCGGTGTCATCCATGGACACAATAAGACATATTTTCTTCCTAAATTCACGGTATTAGTGTGCCGTTCAATTATTGAGTTCAGTATTTTTCTGAATATATCTGCAGCAGCATTTGTAGTTATTGCACTAGTTACCGTATGCCAATCTTGTGTTGCTAATGATTTGGCCACTTCCCTAAAGTTTGTCTTTGTTATCTGTGTGTTCTGTCCCTTTCTTATGACAGTGTCAAGTGGAATAATGGCCATACATAAATTATGATCTGTAAGTGAGTGACTACTTACCAAACCAGTTGGGGCCGATTTAGATTTAACAAATATATGATCTATGCAATTTTCGCCTCGGGTTGGAGTGTTAATCACTGGAAGTAGCCCATATCGTGCCATCACACATAAATATTCGTTACAGTGTCCTGTGGAATCTTCTGCTAATATGTTTATGTTCATATCTCCCGCTACAATTAATGAAAAAGTGTTAATTTTACTAAGCAACGAGTTTAGTGATTGGAGAAACGCAGTAGGATCTCTGAAAGACGGCGATCGGTATATTCCTAATATTGTAGTAGACTTCCCTAGGCCCAATAAAAGACCATTTGCATTTTCCAGGTCTGGTTCTTGTACCGAAATGTCATAGGACGATTTTGTGTAAACAACCACGCCCCCGTTTTTATTAATATATTTATGTGTTCTATGTGAAGTATAGCCAGGTATTTGTCTTAAGAGAGTGAGATCACTCAACCAGCATTCAGTTAACACTATGATATCAAATGAAGTTTCCAGGCATTGCAAAGTTACAAGAAGACTGTCAAAATTTTTTTTAAGGCTTCTGATGTTTACTGTCAGTAATTTAAAGCCGTTTGAGTATACAAAAAAGCTTTTACATTGTTCAAGGGTATCAAAAGAGTGACAAGCAACGGGAAATGAATTGTCAATATCCCTTTGAAGGTCCGCTATGTTATTATAAAATAGTACAATAGGTTAAGACAGATAGTTAAGTGGAAGTGTTCACTCTTGAGTTGTTTAATACTGTATAATATATAGAGTAGTAGGTAGGGTTTGTAGATACCAGTAACGTAATTATTATTTGCATCAGGCTGGGTGCATTTATATGTCTCTTGGAAATCGTTATTAGAGGGAGGAAAATAGTTATAAGTGTTTAATAGATATATGTATTGGTTAGTATGTGGTGGTTTCGAGTTAAATTTTAACAAGTGAGTCACAAAATGTATACAATAATAGCATCTAATTTCAATAAAGGCTGTAACTAAAAACGTAATTTTTTCTTTTACTTTACAATGATTGTGACGAATAAACTTACTTAACGTACGTTTAATACACGAGAGAACTGAGCTTATATTTAGTACAATTGCTGCTATTAAGTTTTGCCTGTTATACAATGTCAGGCGCATTAGAATTGATTCTACTAAGAAGGCATAAGTCATTACTTGAAGATATTGTGCGAACTGGTTTGCCATCATCCTGGCGTATCTTGATTTTGCCATTTTTAATCCAACAATATTTAAAGCCCTTTTCTTTTGATAAGAGACGCGCTTCACGAAATAACTGCCTGTTAAGCTTCGATAGGTGTTCATTGAAGTATAATATACGTGAGGGGCCTTCGAGTTCAATATCAGTGGTTGTAGTATTGCGTCTAGTTTTGGTGTGGCGTAAAAAGTCATCGCGAACCACCTGTCTGGTAAAGCGCAAAACCACGGGACGGGGTCGTTGTTCGATACCAGAGCTCCGTAGCGAGCCCACTCTTGTAACCCAGTCTATATCTTCCGGTTTTAGTTCGAAGCCGACGCGTTGGGCAATAATATTTGTTATGTGGAGAAGATTTTCGTTCCTGTGTTCATTCAAGCCAATTATTTCAACTTCGTTTCGCAAAAAATAACTCTGGTGATTGTTTACTTGTTGTTCCAGCGAAGCTATGTGAAGTTTGAGACCTGGTATACTAGAATTTTCTTTTTCCAACGCCGACACCTTAGCTTCTGCTTCTAGTACCCGAGTTTCCAGATTTACTGTCTTTGACATGCATTGTGCAACGGTTTCCACGAATTCTTTTAAGCAGCTCTTCATCTCCTGCATTTCTTCTCGTAACAGTCTAATTTCATTAGTGAGAGTGTCGTTCCCGGAACCCGACATCGGTGACAGTAGTGCCTTTCTTTTGGACGGGCGGGAGGTAGCAGGGCTGCTTGGCAGGCGATCTACATTTGCCGATGAGATTTTTTGGCACTCTGCTGGTACAGTTTGGACATTCCCACGAATTTAAATAATCTTGCTCAAGTTTATCAAATTCTAGGTCATTTATATTCAAACATAATGGGTGATAAATTAGGACGCAACGAGTGCATTGAATTATTTGCTCTTCTCTAACGTCAACTTGCGATAAGCAAGCGCCGCAGGTGTGTTCCATTATTATTATTAGCAAACCCGCAATACAGCACAATGCGATGCTTGGCTAACTGGGTAGTTGACAAAACTTCGCTAAGTGAGCGGTCGCAAATTGCAAGCGTGTGCAGCTTACTGATTTAAGATGCCTCGAATAATAGTAGCCAGAGTTTATATCATTATCTTTTTTAAGTGAAAGTGAAGTGAGAAGTAGGTGCGTCTTGACTTACTTGTACAGCGTGCGGTCCTTATGGATATGTTGTTCGCAGATTCTTAATTTTATTTATTCATGGAGTCACTATTGTAAGTACTTGCATTTACTTTGAATTGAGATTTTAGCCAAACAACACAAAAAAGATTTTAAGAGCCCAGATTACAAAAATACGTCTATCCTACCCGCGATCTACCGCGCGAACGAATTCATTATCAGTCTATATCGACATTACCTGCCCATGATTAATAAAACCATGCCTCAGCGCCAACTCATCTGCGTTTCCACTAGGCACGTTTATCGCGAACTGATCGTGGTACAGCGGCTCACACAAGTTCAGAACTGCTAAAAGCACGACCACGGCAAGCGGTGGCATAACTCACGTCGCGCATTGCACGCTACCGTTTCCGAACTTTCATTATTTCGCTTACGTAATTATTGTGGCACTCGCGCGGACGCCTCCCATCCGTGCGGTGGTTGATCGCGGACTGAACTCATGTGACTGAAGTTCTACCCTCCGTGTGGTTCGCGCATGCGCTCATCTTCGCGCCCTTTCTTCGCCTTGCTATTAAAATGTATTGTGTGGATAGCATCAATTGACAGGAATTCTTAATTGGATCAACGTAGTTATGGACGTATATTTGGCGTCTTATTGTGCGAGCGTATGTATCACTTAGAAATCACCTTTCTATATCGTTTGATACGAAAATATTATAATAAGGAACTTTGATTTAATAACTTTTGTAAAACTGATAATTTATTTGAAAGAAATGTTTAAAAAGTTCTATAATGTATAATACAACACGACTAACAGATTATCGTGAACATCGGCTGATACTGATTCTCCTTTTAAAAAAGCACATTTAAAGGTTTGGAATGGGAAAAATTGGATATATACGACCTGTAACATTCACCTAAACTACAGACTCTAATTTAATGAATAATTCTGTTATCGAAGTCTTAAATTATTGTACAAAATATGTAGAGAACATGAGATACATTATGTTTTATGTATTTTTAAAGGTCCCGTGCCCCTATTTTTATCTAAATCACGATCGTATAACCTAGAAATACCTGAAAGAAACGGTATTCACTATCATCCCGATCTGTCCACGTGTGCTTTTCTACAGAAACGGAGTAAAGTAAAGACATAGCCAGTTATTATTTCTTAGAAGTCTGATGAAATTGAAGCGTAAAAGGTCCTGACTTAGAATTGCAGAATATAATATTTTTGGCCTGGCGAGGCGTAAAATTCTGATCGACTACTTACTTGTTTGTAAGCTATCCTTATAGTTTAATTTATATATTTTATAATTGTTCCCCTCTACTTACTAGTTAAAATACCGCTATTAGGCTTAATTGATATTGTATGTTGCTGTGTAGCAAAGTATTAGTAAATTAAAAAAAGCGATATAAAACAAACAATCAAATTTCATACCTCACCTTTGACACTTATTTTATGAAACATCAAACTTCTACGACTATTTATTTTTATAATAATTTTATTGATTTTCTCCCAACATGCTAGTAACAATTTATGTATAAAACTACGTAACTACTTCTAAGGACATTCGAACTTAATTCTATATTCATAATTAATCAAGTGTGCCTAAGTAACAAAGACACAACTTAAACGGAATTATGTAACAGTACAAGTTCATGAGACAATTAATTGCCTCTGTATATCTGATTTCACACAAATATTCGGGAAGTTTCACAATTTATAACTTAATTTGGTATGGCTTCTAAGCGTTGGGTTACGTTTCCATAACTATTATGAATTATTCAATATACGAATACATTCCTGAATTAATTTAAATTCAATTATCAAGTCCTACCTAGAACAAGATCGGATCTTGGGATGGTATATTTACTACTGAATTCTATTTCTATTTTCATAAAATTCACGTCAATGTTATACAAAATACCTTAATATCGGTTTTCAACGTAAGTAAAGTTGACGTTCTCAAATTCACATCGAAACAACCAACGTTGAAGGCATCCATACCAGATGTAACCAAAGTTCTCATCTTGACGTGTAGATTAATAGCTGAAAGCTGAGGAAAATTAATATGCTACGGAAATACACACTATTTATTCACTTATTAGTACGTACGCACCACGACGTAGCGTTGTTGCACTACAGCGTAGCACGACGTAGACAATGAGTAAAAATATATGTTGCTACGCCTTTAACTCTTCGATTTGTCTTTAGCGTACTAAATAATGTAATCACTAAGTTAAAAATTAAAAACTTTCTGCGCTTGAGACTATTGTGTAATTTGTTTCGAAATATATAAATATATTAAAACGTTCTTAGTAAATCACAAAAGGAAATTGTAAATAATGCAATGTAAATCAGATAAAACAATTTACAAATTTCATAACTCAAAAAAGAGCGCCAAAGAATATAGCAGTCTTTCACTTTAATAAAATTCCTAAGAAATCCAAGACTTAATTCGTTCGTCGCAATTCCAGCTTCTTTCAACATCGTGTAACGTATGAGGCAATTTTTAACCACAAACTTAAGTTTTCAAGTGGAAAACTGGCAAGTATTCGAGCTATTCAATTCAAACTGGGCTGGATATTCAAATGCGTTATTTGTTTAAGCGAGAACTTCTCAACTTTAAGTAGGGATGAGACTAAAGTTCTCTAGATGAGCTTCAGTATTCGAATACTAGATGTACAGAGTCGAGTTCAAGAATGTTGGGCCACTAATTATAAATATTTTTTAAAAGTTTAATTCAACATAAATTGTATCTTCAAATTATTTTTCTGAAGTTGTTTTTCAAAGCGATTTATATTATTTTTAACATTATACTACCAAAATATTAATATAATTTAACTTGTATATTTTATTCTGGATTTTGGTAACCATCATATGACACTTTTTGTACAATATTTGAATATACCATTACATGAAATCAAACTTTCCGTAGAATTTGGGGCCCCATAATTGTATGTTTGAAATTCAACCCTCAAAGAATGTTAACAACATAGTGCAGTATGCAAAGATAACATGACGTCTGCCTATCGTCTGCATGTTGTGAACTTTTATTCGACTGCCGACATCTATATTCATATTTTAAAGGCATTTCATGGAGTTTGAATGAAACATCACTGAAAGGAATGTCGGAATTTTCTCGTCTAAATAGCAGTTCTTACGTTTTAATTCTTACTTGTAAAGTGAGAGACACGTTCCTCTTTACCTTTCATGAAGAGGAAAATTATAGTTCAGAGTAGACTTTTAATATTATTCCTTTTAAGTTATTCTTTGAATGTTAATATTATTTCATCAAAATTTAATTCATATTAACTTTATTCAACTGTGTCAGAGTGTACGAAAGTGGAAAACTTAAATTATCGTCTTCATGGCGTAACAAGAAACTCATTTCAAAAAACCATTCAAGCTTGACGTGGGTTCAAATACCTGGTAAGACCTAATATACTTTTTTGGTCGGATAGAACTTGTCTAATCACCTAACCGCCTCTTAATAAAAAGCATTCGACACAGAAAAGTGTGCTCACAGGGAAAATGGGGGAAACACATATTGTATATTTTTGGAAACATACCTTAAATAAAACACTTTAACGGTTTCAAACGCGATATATTAGTTAAACTTATTTGGAAATTATTTTTAACTTCGGCCCGACGTTTCGGATGCTTTGCAGCGGCCGTGGTCACGGGGAGACCCGTTTTAAACCGTTAAAGTGTTTTATTCAAATGTGTACTACTCGCGTAAACTATAGACAGTATTTAACATACCTTAAGACAATTTCTTACTACTTAGTGACTTATAATCACTTCAAGTTGGTTTTAAATTACTAGTATTGATGCTTAAGAAGGCCAGTTAACAATCCAATTGGTAAAACCTATTTTTACAATAAACATCATTAAAAGCGAGACCTGAAAAATATTCTAGTGTCCTATTTTCTATCTACTTATTCTTCTATTTTAGTATCCTTAATGGACTTGAATCCTGAATAATTAAACCGTCGTGATACTACACTACTTTCAAAAGTAGTCGATAGATAAGCATTCACCATGGTCCCACACAGGTCTCCGGATACCAATAGCTTATCTTAATCGATATTAAATGTGACAGACCCATTGTAGTCCCCACTTGATCTAAACTAAATGAGAGTATAATGGAGCCTCACAATAGAAAATCTGCTTCATATTATAATGAATTGCGATAGATCCTTTCTCGTTTTATTCCAAGAAAATCCTTGAAAGCCTTTCAAATAGACCTTTAGAATCGTATTGTGAGGTGCTCTATTCATTAGAGTCAAGTCATATTCAGCTCCTTGATACAAATATGGTCTTTTCAACGCTTAATGATTGCTTTCAGGAAAATTAAATCTTTAGATGTCAGTGTAAGACCTAGAAAAAATAACACACAAACATACAGTAATAAAACAGTCATAATGGTTAAGTTAAGGAAGGGATTGAATTGGAAAAGAAAAAGCAACACGTTTGTGTTATCTGCACAATATGCTAGAGCGTCAGTTTCTATAGCCACCGCGGATTTGATCGTAGACGGAAGTGAACAACACACACTCCATAGAAGATGTTTAAACTAAGTCGAATGCACACAAGCGTTACAGGTTATACAACTATAACCTAATGACGTCGTAGCTAGTAAAGATTTGTTGTTATACACCAAAAAAAGTACAATTGGAACCTTTACTATTATTTATATATAAAATAAAAAAAAAAACCCCGGGGGGGGGAAAAAGGGGGCAACCCCCCCCCCCCCCCCGGGGGCCCCAAACCCCCCCGGGAAAAAATTGGGTTTTTTTTGCTAAAATAA